CTGGCGTTGATCCAAATGCACGACAACAAATGCAAGAAATATTTTTAAATGCTGTTAAAACAAAATTAACTATTATTTTAACAAGTCATTCAATGAATGAATGGTAATAAAAAACCTCAATAAGATTAATAAGTTTGTTTTTCATTCTATTCTAGTGAACGTGTTTGTAATCGTTTTGGTATTATGGTTAATGGTCAATTAGCCTGTTTAGGTACAATTCAATATTTAATATCAAAATTTGGTCAAGGTTATACAATTGAAATAAAAGTTCGTTCATCATCAGATGATATAAATGCAACAACAATAAAAAAATGTTGAAGCATTTTTATTATCACAAAAACAATATCGTGTTGAAGTTAAAGCAACAATACATTCAATAGGTTTATTTAAAATAAGAAAAAGTGCACCGGCTGAATTATTTCAATTACTTGAAGAAAATAAACAAAGATTATCTATTGAAACTTATACTATATCACAAACAACACTTGAACAAATATTTTTATCATTTGCAAAAGAAATTCGAGCTACTTAGTAGTTAAATATTATATCGATGTTTAGAAAACAAAGGAAGACAAAGATAAAAGACTTTTTTATTTGTAAATATATATATATATATTTGTACAATTATTGATTTATTTTTTTTTCTTTAAATAAAACTAATTCATAATCAGCGCATTCTATTGGAATAATACCTAATCGATGATAAGTTTTTTGAGCTGAATAATTATCTGATGTTGTTTGCTAAATAATAGGTTGACGAGCTTCTTCTTGACATGCTTCAATTAATAATCCAGTTATACCAAAACTCTGTGCGATTGGAATAACATAAAGATCATTTAAGATTGCTTGTCGACCCGGATAATTGTACAGATATCCTTCTATCGGAATAGATTGTCAAATAGCAGAAAAATATTAGAATGTACTTAACAAATCATGAAACTCGTATCATTACGAGGCCTACAAGTCAAATTAAGTTACATAATAAATTTGTATTGATGTATGAAGCCAATTTTTCCAAAAATATGTCGATATTACATCCATTATATTCAAAACAAACGAAAGAATATTGTAGAAAAAGAATATCATAATTTTATATATTTATATAGAAATGTCATGTGATCAAAAATATCTTTAATTAGAAATTTCTTTCAATATGATATTTACACATTTAGTTTTTTAACATATGCAATAAAAGCCACCTTTGATACATTAAATTCATAGAAATTTTATTGAAAATTCAACGATACAATGAAAATTTTTTATTTGCTAATAAATG